TCTCTGGTGACAAGCCAGCTTTGTGTTTCTGCTTGGAAAGCAGAAGAAAGGGAGCTACCCTTTCCTTGCTGTTGCACCCAATGAACCAATATGGTTATATCTTCATAAGAGAGAATTGGGCCTACATTGAGTGGCAGTAACGAATTAAACCGAATTAAACTTTGATACATATGAGAGATATGTTAGTTACTATATAAAGTATTATAATTAATTGGTCCAGGAAATCTCTTAAATATTACATAAGGTCACCAATGAGTTTCCTGCCTGTGGGCCCCTGCAGACCAGCAGGGAGCTGACATTTGCAGATCTTCTCCCTCAAGAACCTCATGGCAGCTCTGAAGAAAACCATGGGCGCCATAAGTGGGCTTAAACTCTGCTCCTCTAATTGCTTAGAGCCATTAAGTTTTACAAAATTTGATTAAGCATTAAGCAGCTCACTGCTCTGCAGCTTGCACCAAAGCCCAGAGAAGCCCAGATCGTTTCTCTACAGCTGCTCCATTTTTATGCCCACCTGAGAACAACATCAGCATCAACTAGGAACTGTTGGAACGTCCTGCTCAGCTCCACACCTGCACTACTTACTGCCATCAGAAGTGTTTGGAGTGAAGTCCAGCCCAGCTTTTTTAAAGCCATCTCCTAACAGAGCACCAAATTTAATTGATATTTTTTTAACAGAACTGTAATGTTTGCTCTTCCACATGGCAAAACACTTCCACCACTGATTACAGCTGCTTATGGATATCATGTCTCATTAATCAGACCCTGCTGTCTCTCTCTGAAAACATCTATGGGCTTTAACAGCTGCTGCCAATTGAGTCCAAGCTGACAGATGCAGGATGACTTTAGGTTTTATTCCCCTTGTGCTCTGAAATTTTCATTTCAAAACGCAATATTGAATTGGCCTTGACAAGAACCAGGTGCTAATTCTGATCAGTTACTGCATTACTCATTGTGCTGTACCTGTTTCCCTCCCCCACAGCAGCAAAACTCAGCATTTTGACGCTCACAGCAGTGCTGTTGGTTCCATAGAACTAGAAATGGGGCTCATATCCAACTCAAAGCTTGCTCTGTTCAGTCTCTTGCAGTGTGACACTGCCACCAGTAGAAATCATTTTGCCACCTGCCTTAGCAGCCCAGCTGCTCATTTCATGATGTTTCATCCAGGTTCAGCTTGCCATGCTGTTTTTCAGTCCTAACAGCTCCCCAGGTTTGACAGACAAGTTGTTGCTGGTCTCTACTGTGGGAAATGGCATTTTCTGTATCTCATCTTCTGACGCTACCTATACGAAACTCCTGTTAGAGTCTGGCTTCCCTGTTTGTGCATCAGCTGGGCTCTGGCAAAGCAGGAGCTCAAAGTCTCCTCTGGAAATTTCATCCTCAGCCACTCTGGGCTCTCTTCTCTGCACTGTGCCGTCCTTATCCTCACCAGGCACTGCTACCTCGTGAGGGGATCTCAGAAAAGGAAATTTTCCAAACTGAATAAACATTTCCTACGATGAAAGACAGAAGAAAAAGAAGTAAAACAAAGGGATGGGCTTCATAGCACAGATACTTGTGTGAATGCCAGAGCACTTTCAACCCTCATCAGTAAAGGCATGAATACAAAGCGGTTATTAAATCATCTCTTTCTTTAAAGTTTGTTCCACAGACAAGCTGGCTCCACGGGGCAGAAATAAGCAGGGGAAGAAAAGGCAATCATGCAGAGCAGTAACAGCATCTGGCAGAGGTTTGGGGCTTGCTGTGCCCCAGCCTGCACTTCTCCCTTCTCTGGGGAAGAGCAGAGCCCTCACTGTGAAACTCTCACTTGTGAGAGCACAAAGACAGGCATGCATCAAAGTGAAGGTGTCATGACAGCTCTCATTTCCCCTTCAAGCATTCCTGGTATTGTCTCTTCTGATGTCCTTATCTCTCCCGTTTCTGGACACAGCTGTCCTTTTACTTTGTAATTGCAATGATACTTATCTGAACCTGCACTGAAGTGCAATTCTTCTATGGGAGGCTGACCAGCATCCCGGGGACACCTATCCATATGGATTACGAATAACTCCTTCATCATTAGCACCCTATAAACTGGCTTTTGTTGGGTCTGTTCCAGGAGAAATGGGAGCTTCCATCTCTCCCCTTCACGAAGCATCCAGCAGGAGCAGCACACAGACTGCACAGGCCTGTGCTCCTGCACAGCTGAGCTCATAAGATGGTGGGGTATTTTGCCCCACAACAGAGGCACTTGTACTGATGTAAAAGCACAGTGTGACTCTGGAGCTGCAGCCAAGAAGGTCAGAGCAAGCACTGGAAGATAGCTGTGCCTGAAATAGAGAAGCAGTGAATTTGTGAACCTTTCCAGCACCAGCTGCTGCACGGAGGTGGTGGTTATTTGTATGTAGAATGGGGCTGTCACCACCTCTACTGGTTTTGACTGGGAAACGTGTGGAAGATTTCAGGTCATGTATACTCCATGGCAAATCGAGAGACAGCGCATTTTTGTTTTAGTGATTTGGTCCTGATTATCACCTTGTCATTTGTAAAAGGTCCCTAAAGGTGGGAGATGTTATCAATTACATGATTAAGCAGCCAGCTGCAAAGGAATATCCTCCCAGCTCCAGGTTTATTACACTGGGAAGTTATCTATGGGCCAAGGTGGTTAACAAACACTTCAGTATACACCTCAGAGCTACAAAGGCACTTCAGAGAATCAAACCTAAGTGGTAAAAGGTAACAATGCCAAAGTAAGCCAACAGAGTTGATTTCACAGACATATTGACAGGCATCCCAGAGAAGGGAACAATCCAATCCTCACATCTGGATTTCGTGGTTCATTAGATGCGGAGCATCCAAGAAGATCTAAGACAAGAACAAGCATCTAACAAAATAGCACCGTCTCTACAACTCTTCTAAAGCAACTGAGAACAGATTTTCTAGCACGGATGATCTTGGAGGTCATTTCCAACCTTGTAAGTTCTCTGATTCTGAGTCTAACTGTGCGTTCAACAAAACCACAATCGTTTTATATGAAAGGGATTACAGGAATTTAATAAAACTAGAGGAGTAGAAACAAGAATTATGCCTGGCCTGCAGAGGAGGGCGCTCCACTGAGAAGAACAGATCCCAGCTCTGTGTCTTTAGCACTCAGCACAGCCCCACATGGAAGCTCCAGTTGTTTGCACACAAGCTCTTGGGAAGGCAGAACTTCTCCGTACCTCTCTGTGTGGCTCATAAATCTCTGTGCAATTCTGCAAGTCACGAGAGACAAGGTAAATGAGATGCTGAACGGGGGAAATAGAACTGAACAAAAGCAACTCCAAATTGGTCCCTGTAGGACGGCCAAACTAAAATAATAAGCAAGAGAAAGAGAAGCCAATGTCACTAAGCCAGATGCATACAAAGCACATCCACAACAGTCCCTGAGTACTTCCCACTGTAAGCAGCAGTGAGCAGAGCAAACTGGGCCAGCCAGGCTCAGCCAAAGATCCTGGGGCACCACTCTGAGATGTGGCAGCGCTCAACTCTGCAGTGCCAAAGTCCAGATAGACCCCACTCTAGAATTACACCCGAAGATTTCTGAACACCAGAAAGCTGCAGAAGTTATTTGTCTCTTAGTCTGAAGGTTTCATGTTGCAGAGAAACTGCCTACAACAGCCATCTTTACAAGATTATTCACTTCTTATTCACTCAGTGCTTGAGTCTGGAAGAATGCTCAAGTGAGGCATTGCTTTCAGTATAAAGTTGCTACAAGATAGACACATATTGCCCTTGCTTGTTTTAAAAGGCATAGAACACCTGTGGAACTCATGTCCAGGCTCAACGCTTTTTAAAAATGAAATGGGGAAGGAAGGAAGCAGAAGAGATGAGAGCCCCCAGGACTGGAACCACTTACCAACAGCAGCAGCAGGGCTGCCCCCACACTCCTCACTTCTGCCCTTACCTGAAAGCTTCCAGCACAGCTGCACCACAAGCTCACAAAGCATTATTTGAGCACACTGGCTGCTCTCTGAGGCTCCTCAGTTGCCTCATCACACTCAGCTGAGACATCCCAGAAGCCTTTAGGAATCGGGTTGAATAGGGAGCTCTGGACTGGGATCTCTACACTGACTATCCGCTTTTGTATCTGCCTGAGGACTAAGTGGTGCAGAGCTCTGAGGCCAAGAAGAGAACCCTGGCAGGTGACAACAGACTAACTGATAGCCCCAGTGAACACATATAAGCACTTATGAGCACATGACATCTACATCTGTACTGCATAAGCCAGGTCAAAACATTAGCCATCGTACCGTCTGACCACATATCCACGTGTAATCTGCTAATCAGCCCTTCTAGGCTGGGTGATTTCCTTTGTTTCATTAACAACGTGATTCCAGAAATACATTAGATAGATAGATGTCCTCCTGAAGCAAAAAAGAAACATTCAGAGCAGGAAAACTCTATTCTGCTCAGCTCTGCTGTCCCTTATTGGCTCAAGGTGCCAGGCAAATCACTCTGGTTAAACACTGATTGAGAGCTGTGCACGTAACATGTTGAAATCCCTTTGTAAATGATCTTCAGTCCAAAGAGTGATTTCTGCTTTCTGTTCTGATGGAGCAAACTGAATAATGACTGACAGCTAACGAGCAGCTCGCAGTGATAGTGCCGCCGTATGCACGCAGTCATTCGGAATTCATAGACGTCTTAATGAATACTAAGGACTGGCTGAATAGCTTAAGATTACAAACCACACGAGATCGCAAACAGCCGCGGGATGAAAGCGTTGGCTGTTAGAAATCGCCCCACCAACAACTCGACGCACAGCCCCGCTCTCTGTCCCCGGCAGCGCTGCCGTGTGCGGCTCCGCGGGCGCACAGTGACCTCCTCTGTTGGGACGCGGCGGCGGTGCGGACAGAGCCGCGGTTCCGTGCGGGCGCAGCGATTCCTGCCAGCCCGGACCGAAAGCGGAGAGATGGAACGAGGCGCCACCGAATGCCATCCCTGCACGGAAATGCTGCCTGCCGCTGCTGCTGGCTGCCGCGATGCTGGAGCTTCTTCAGCCTCTGCTCGAGCCTCTGATAGCTCCTGGTGTGAAGACGGCTTCTGAAGTAATGAGGAAGAGGCACAGCTCCCCGGGTTTCGGCTTCATGCGTGTTTCTGGGCTTGCAAAATTTCATTGCTTTCTTTTTTGTTCGCTGTTCTTCAAAGACGGACAGAACGTATCAGACTTCTCCAGATTAAAAAAAAAAGGCTCTGGGGCAGATTCTGCAGCCCTGGTTTCCGGTGCTGCCCTGCACACCCCACACCTTCCTCCCTCACTCCCAGGTGAGCTGATGGGACCCGGAAGGCATTTTCACTGCTGCATGCAGAGCATGCACTGCATACCGTGGTGGGTTTTACCGTGGCCGGAGCTTCGTCCTGGAGTACTGCCGGCAGAAAAGTACGTTCAGGCAAAAGTTATTCCCTTCACTATGAAAAGCCAAGTAAGAGGAGGGAGGAGGAGGCATGAATCGACTCCCTGCAGCTAGAAGTGGAGGGCAGTGAGTCGCCGGTTTGCAGGTCGTGGGTTGGACAGGGTGAGATCTGCATCAGGGCAGCTCCTGGGCAGCTGTGCATTTCCCCTGCTGCCCGTGAGGGGCGTGGGCATCGCTGCCTTCCTCCACCAGCCCGGGGGCTCTCGGGGCTGACTTCTAGTTGGGCGTTTACCTCCACGTCTTGACACTGGGGCAGAGACCGTCAGCACTTCCCACGGCCTCTGTCTCTGGGGGGATGCTTTGGGGGAGATGCAGAGACGTTCCTAGCGAGACACGTGGGGATACTCCGGAGGAATCGAGGGACTGAGAGGAAAAGGGAACGAGTGGATGGCAGCATTCTGTGCGAGCGGTGCGGGACGCACCGAGGCTCGGAGCGGCGGCGGCGGGGAGCGTGGGGCTGCAGAGCAGCGGGGCGGGAGGCGGGGCCGGACCGGGAGGGGAGGGGAGGGGAGGGGAGGGGAGGGGAGGGGAGGACCGGCAGCCCCGCGGCTGCGGAGAGGCGCGGGCCATGGAGAGCGGCGGGGCGCTGAATGGCTCTGCCGCCGCCTCCGGGCGCTTCGCAGCCGTCGGCACCGCGGCGCTGGGCGCCCTCATGGCTTTGCTGATCGCCGTCACCGTGGCCGGCAACGCGCTGGTGATGCTGGCTTTCGTGGCGGACTCCAGCTTGCGCACCCAGAACAACTTCTTCCTCCTCAACCTGGCCATCTCGGATTTCCTAGTAGGTAAAGTGCCGCCCGTCGCGGAGCAACGCGCCCGAAACTTCGTGGCGAGGGCAGCGTCGTGCCGCTCTCCCGGCCGCAGCCCCGGGGTTCCGTCCCGCAGCGCGCCGCCGCTCCCCGTCCCCACAGCCCCGCAGCGCCCACCCGCATCCCGCGCCCGGCGCAGCAGAGCCCTGCGGAGCGCAAGGGCGGCGGCGCTGCTGCAGGTCACGGCCTCGCGTGTCCGAACAAACGGAGCCCTCTGGTTGCAGGTGCCTTCTGCATTCCTTTGTACGTGCCCTACGTGCTGACAGGGAGATGGATCTTCGGGAGAAGCCTCTGCAAACTCTGGCTGGTAGTTGATTACCTGCTCTGCACCTCTTCGGTCTTCAACATCGTGCTGATTAGCTATGACAGATTTCTCTCGGTGACAAGAGCGGTGAGTCCTGGCACGGCAGCTGAGAGGGGAATAACTCCTTCTGCTTTGTTCTTTGTTAATTAAAAGCTTTCTGAATCGTCCACAAAATTGTTAATCGTTCAGCCCGGTGATTGGAAAGAAATAATTACCCACAAATACCTAATTCAGTTGTGGCTTCCGATGAGTGTTTCTGGCGTACTTAACCAGACCCCACTGTGCAGATGTTCCTATGCAGATGACAGGAAGGCAGACCCGCAATGAATTGCAGAGATCTGTCATCTCCGGGGCAGACAAGCAGATTGCAGACCCAAAGCTAGGGAGATTTCAGTGCCAGCTTCAGCAGGGCACAGTGCTCAGGTCTGTGGGCACTGTGAGGTGTGGTGAAAACAGCCTTGCCCAGGCTGATCAGAGCCACAGCTGCCTGATTTCTCCTTGACTCCAACTACAAACATGGGTCAGCTGCACAGCACCTGGGTTCAGAACAAGGCAGCGCTGAATGCCTGGTGTGTGATGCATGCCTGTCCCTAGGAGGTGCAGCATAGCCAGGGGCAGCTCAGGCATGTGGCTGGGAGCAGCAAACTGCTGGGCTTGAACCAAGGCTGTTCATTTCCACTGAGCAGAACTCACGTCTCTTTCTGGTGAGGTACAAGATGAGGGTTCTGTCTTCTTGGCAGGTGTGTGATATATCCAGCAATTGCTCGTGCTGCCTGCGACATGTGAATTTGTTACTGCTGTGATATTGCCTCGCAGCTTTACCAGAAATGCCAGCAGTGTGTTTGTGAAGTGCCTCAACCAGCTGGTGTGTGTGGCCGTGCTTACGGGAAGGTTTCCTCATTGCAGGTCTCCTACAGAGCCCAGCAAGGCAACACCAGGCGAGCAGTGCTGAAGATGGTGATGGTGTGGGTATTAGCATTCCTGCTTTATGGACCTGCCATTATCAGCTGGGAGTACATCTCGGGGGAGAGTATCATACCCACTGGGGAATGCTATGCTGAGTTTTTCTACAACTGGTACTTTCTCATGACAGCCTCCACGCTGGAGTTTTTCACCCCTTTTATCAGCGTAACGTTTTTCAACCTGAGCATTTACCTGAACATACAAAAGCGTACCAAATTACGCCTGGATGTTTTCCACGAAGTGCACAACCAGCCTTTTGCTGAAGAGATGGAAATGAGTCCAGAAACAAAGTTTGCTTCGAAATGCTGCAAGTGGGAGCAGAAGGAGCCAGCTGAAACCCTCGGCCTCTCTAAGAGTGAAGCACAAGCAGCAGCTTCCACCGGTGCAAAAGACCTGCTGACAGCCAGCTCGGGGAGATCCCAGTGCTGCAATAAAAAGGGCTGTAAGAATTCAGCATCCGCGCTGTCCTTAGAGAAAAGGATGAAGATAGTCTCCCAGGGCATGACCCAACGCTTCAGGCTCTCCAGAGACAAGAAAGTAGCCAAATCGCTGGCAATCATTGTGGGTGTTTTTGGCATTTGCTGGGCGCCATACACCCTCCTTATGATTATCCGTGCTGGCTGCCACGGCCACTGCATCTCTGACTACTGGTACGAGACTTCCTTTTGGCTGCTGTGGATCAACTCAGCTGTCAACCCTGCCCTATATCCTCTCTGTCACTACAGCTTCAGAAGAGCTTTTATTAAACTCCTCTGTCCAAAGAAGCTGAAGATTCAACCTCAAGATCCCCTGCAGAACTGCTGGAAATGAAGCAATCCTTGGGTGTGGGAAAGCCTTTGTAACAGGCGTAGCATTGCTTCTCCAGAAGCTGGGATCACTGCTCTGCAGCACACGAGGAAGGCAGCTGGGAGACCACTGTTCACTTATGCCAGTTCATCACCGACAAACCCAAGCAGAACAGAGGAGGGAGGAGGTTGGGTTTTTTCCATTTTAACGTTACCCATAGGCAGTGATGTGTCCTCCACCTGCACAGCAGAGCTTTGCTGCCACCTAGTCAGCCTGAGCAGCACCAACGTTTTGTTGAAATAAGAAACCCAGAAAATGAATGCCTGCCCCAAACCCACCGGACTAAACTCACGTTTAAACCATTAAACTAAAGGTTACGTGATTGCAAACCTGATTTTTACTGAGAATGGGTTTTGTTTTGTTCTCTTTGCACTTAAGTTATTACGAGATGATACAGCAAGAATGAACCACAGAAAGAAGGAATGCCTCATTTATCATTACTTCTACAGCATCTACAGCCATAATGTAGATCCTCACTGCATATGGTGCAAGGTATGTCCTTCCCACTCTCCAAGAAGGGGCACATCTCTGCCCCAAGCAGTCTACAGCCAGACTGAGCTTACAGCCAGGCTTCCTTTTAAAGCAGGAGACCTTGGTCAAGCTGATCTAAGCAACACAATTATCATTTTTTAATTGTCTTTTTTAAGCAATCAGCCAGCTTTTTCCACAGACAGAACATCAGATTCAAGAGACCAGGGCTCTAACCTAGCATGAGATATTGGGCATTTTATTTCTGCTTCCCATCTCATTCTTTGTCATACTTGCCCACGTAGACTCAATAAGCTCTTTGGGAACAGGCAGCATGGCCACAAAGAAAAGACCAACTCCCATCTCTGCGGGCACTGCTCACTGCTGTAGTAATACAAATACATCATCAGTTGCCATGGCAAGCACTCGTGTTGAACAGTATTGCAAAGGAAGCTTGAGGTCATAAGTCTGAAGACTACATTTATAAATGGAAACCCAGTTGCTGTGAAGTTGTACCCACAAGCTTGTGATGCTGTGATTGCCAATTACACTTAGCTGTCGTAAACAGTTTCTTGGCTGTTGCTAGGAATAAACAAAAATGCCATCCTACTTTATTCCAGTGATGTTTGTTGAGTAGACCAATATTGTCATCTGAAGTCAGGTTTAAATGATGTCTTGTTCTGTGTATATGATATTGCAGTCTTGTGACAAGTTCCATCAGGCCATAAAATATGAATTCAGATACATGTTTTGAAGTGTACTGAGAAGTGCCAGTATGCACTGCTGAGCCTCGTGTACTTTCCTGTGTCCACTACCTTCTGAGAACGCCAGTAAAGTACTTTTATACAAATAATTCATGGTAAGCAGGACGTCGTTAGAAATGATGAAATCCAACATGTATGAATTATGAAAGCAAAACCTGTATCTATTTGTCTGAGGAGACAATGGAAGCCAATAAAGAAAAGGCTCCTGAAAAAGCTGCATTTCTTTTACTGCTGATTAAATGGGGTCTGGATGTCACACAAAGTTGGTGGTGAGAGCGGGGCACTTAATTCTTTCCGGCTGTAGTTCTTTTCCAGAGCATGCTACGTGCAGCCTGCATCTGAAAAGCTTACCTTAAACCTTTGTGACTCATGAAATCCACTCAACTGCCTAAAAAAAGACAAAATCATAATCACAGAATCATAGGGGCTGGAAAGAACCTCTGGAGACCAGCTAGTCCAACCCTGTGCTAAAGCAGGTTCCCTGCAGTGGGTGATGTGAATGAGGGCCCAATTCCCAGCTGTGTTTCTTCTCATTTGCTCATAAAGACAGAGAGGGCTACAAGATCCAGCCTGATACAAGAAAAGTTACGTTACACCTACAGAAAAGGGTGGAGGAGTTGTTGGTTCTGTCATACCTGGTATTAAAACGAGGCTTTCATGTTTTCATCCTCTTATCTATCTTTTACCAGGTAACTTACCTATCATTTTACCAGAAAGGAAATTTAATGGAAAATATTAATCTGAAAGAACTCTTTCTATTCTGTGGCTAACAGGTAGATCTCTGACAAATTAGATGTGAGAATACTTTCCTCACTATGGTTTGTTTCTTACTGACCAAATTAATTCACAGATGGAGAATGTACCAGTCTTTCCTATGAGACATTTGCCTGAGTAAGGATGGACTGGTAATTGAGCTTCATAATAGAATAAAGCAGGGAGATGTCACAGGTGCTGTTTTTCCTTCTTCCTCCACATTGCAATACACATACAACAGGTTATTATATGACCAGACCAGACAGTACCCACAGACCAGAGCTAAGAAACAGGGAGCATATGGTGAGTTACCAGGTTCTTTTTCCTCTTTCTGTAAAATTGTTCCTTTCTAGAGTATAAATTCACTGTGTGACATTGAAAAAGAAAGAAGAGTTGCCACTTCTAGCTGGTTTTCCTGTGTTTTCCATCCAGCATGTGATGAGCTGAGCAAGAAGGCATTTAAAAAGGAAGTTGCAACTGTTTGTCTGAATTCTGGAAACTGTTGTTTCCATTCTCAAATTCTTAGCTTATAATTAAATATTTGCATCCTGCAGACGAGCAGATTTTCTCCTACGTCCATGGTAGTAATTCTATTCAAAAGCAATGAGACCTATTTTAATTTTGGAGTTGACTTTGCAGAGACATGGGCTGGGATTTCTTTTTCTGTGCATATTTGCTCAGTCAAACAGCTAAAGCTGTAAGCAACACAGCGTTAAGAGGCCAATAAAACGCACAATACTTGTAGAGCTGATGGAGATTGCTCTTGCTCCCTGTCATCCATAAGGCCACACTGTACCTACACTGAAGTCCATGTGCCATCTCTGCAAGTGCAACAAATCCCCGAGTCCCACTAGTGATATCAGTGTATTTCTGTATCATTTAGATCCCCAGTGCCACTTTCCTCTGAGCTGTCAGAATGGACCAAGTATTTTGGTCTTAAAGTCCCTTCCTACAGAGTAAAGAATTGGACAGGTTTCATCGTAAAGCTTTTGCACGGTATTTCCGTGCTCTCTGACTGCTGTATGTGCAGGAGATGCTCAACACATTTTCAGATAACAACTGGGGGAACTGCAGCCATACATCCACCCTAAAAGAACATTGGTTTCTCCCGTTTCCCTTTCCATATCTCTCTGGATTTCAATAACGTTTCCATCACACCAATAATGTTTTAATTGCAATAAAGTGATATCAAGATGAGCAAAAAACAGCCCCCAAGTCAACAGAAAATATTTAATAAGATAGGAGCAGTGCATCATTTTGCTAAAGTAGTTCCTGGGAAAATATAATTTGGGAATCTTGTAGAATTCTTCATGGTAATTATCTCTTCTTGTAGGAGAGACTGCATGCGCCTGTGCTTGTACCAACATGTGCACAGATGATTGGAAATAAACCTGTGCCTCAGCGATTAAACACATTCATGCTTCTTTAATTCCTGTGAAAGAGGACAACGTGGGTTTGTGGGTTTGCAAAGAGCAGGGCTTGGATTTTCAACATTATGAAGAATTTGAAGTGTAAAGGAGCGGTTCAAGATATGCTGCAGCCATTAGCAAAGAGGAAGAGAAGTGCTGTGAAGGTCGGCTGTGCACGTGTAGCTTCAGCTCACACAAGACATCATATTTGCCTTTGCAGCCCTGAAAGGCCAGGCTCCCACACAACCCTACTCACTACACAGGCACTGTATGGACCAAAAGGTTGAGATAAGGACTGAAACGTCAACTGTTCAGCAAATAAAGTTTTCCTTGACTGTTATGGAGAGGTTATACATACCTTCAGCCATCATTTTCACAACCCCTCTCCATCCGTATCTTGTGGTTTTAAGAAATGACTTCTGAGAATCAGCTTAACTTAGCTGAAGTTATTTTAGCTCCTGGCAGATTTTTCTGACAAGATACTTGCATTCCTTCCTGGAACTAGAGCTCCTGTCTTGCCAAATACAAAGGAAGGACTTATGCCCATATATGAACTCACACCCAAGCCTCCTGTTCCAACTGAAGCCTTCTGAGCTGGTCTGAACTTTCAGAGCAGCTGATGACTAATTCAAACACTGCTAAAGGAACATGTGAATTCCACCGATGATCAGTGCTCAGATTATAAGTGTCCATGTGCACTTGGCCTAAGGAGCCTCCAGGCATAATCAGAAATGAATTGTGAAAACAACAGAGCCATAGACAATGCAGGGCATCCCATCAACTATCCTAGCAAAGCACTTGGATACTTTTGCTACCAAGCCTGTAAAACAGTTGCCCTATTGCTACTGTCTGACAGAAACCAAGCAGATTGGATCTGTTTTCAATAAAAAACAGGAAGGATGACCAACTGTAATTATAATATGCGTCAAGTGTATGTGGAAGTACATAGGCATAGAGGAAAAAGAAATACAGCTATTTCCAGAGAGAAATACCCAATTTATGCCTGCAGTGTTAGTAAATACTATTCACGCAGTTGTAAATTGTCCCCAGTTGTGTTCTTTTTTTTAAGAAGCAGGCTAGGTGACCTGCTGTAAGACCTGCTGGGAGGTGATGCCAATGCTCTTAATACAAACCTACCCTCCATTAACCACAGGATGTAAAGGCAAAAAGAAAACAAGGCCTGAGCTCCCTTCCCAGAGCACTGTTTGCATATCAATAAGCTATCAAAGAATATTTTTCAGCACAGCTACTTTCTGTGTAGCTCTGTACTGCTTCTACCCCAATCACCAACAGTGAAATATTTCTTAACGCAGACAGAAGACCCTGCTCCCACAGCCTCTCTTCAGAGCCCTTCCTTAGTTACAGTTTCTTATTCGTTCTCCCCAACCTGTAGTTCCATAAATGGCTTCATTGTTCCAGAGACAGGGCTGAAGCTTCATTAGCCAGCATGGGAGGCTACAGGAGAAGAGAGAACGCAAGAAGGAGCTTTTGATGAAAAGCACCTACCTGGGATAATTAATGAGATTTGCCAAGAGGGAAACTGGGAAGATGCAATCAGTACTTGTTCAAATCGGAATATAATGGTTTCCTTCCGTGTTCATAAGTGAAAGGGCATTCTTATGGCAAAACTAGGATGGAAAGACACTCAATTAGCAGCCTTGCAAGAGAGAAGTTTAGCAACGCGGCTTCTGAGAGTGAGGATTCGTTTTTCACAGCCCCAGCCCTGGTGCAGTGATACCACCACAACTTTAAGCACAGACCCAGTCTTGAAAGAGGCCATCTCCACTCTAAATGATTTACTCTACAAATAGATGGAGCCAAATGAGGAGTAGTATTACCTTTATTTCCAATGTAGGAATTGCAGGCAAGAATAAAAACAGTTTGCTAGCCAGCCTGGATGAGTGCCAAAAAGGGAAAGCTTTTATTTCTATTGCTGTAGTCCAGGACGCGTGGCTCTTGCTTATTACTGGGTATTTGCAAACCACAGTTTTACTCCCTAATTTACAAGCCACTCACACAGACTGAGTATAAAAGACAACCAATATTTAATCCAATTACCAAACATTATAGGCAGTGCTAAGCATGCACATTTGTGAGGGAAGAACAAGACTATTATTTTTCCATTTGTAAAATTCTACAGCCCTGTACAATGTAAAATGTGACTCAGATGCACCAAGCAGGACTTCTTGGTGTGTTCTACAAGCTTTTCTTATACAATAGAAACCTGTCAATAATTCCAAGGCCCCCCACCATAACATGCAATGATTGTGTATCAGGGATGGCAAGGACAGAGCATGAGAGGAGGAGTGATGGTGCACAGGGGCACAACCACCACAAGTATCCATCCTGTGCACCTCAATGTAAAGCTCATGACAACAGTGGAATTTTTACAGGCAGGCTGGGCCCACAACATGCCATCGGTCCTTTTAGGCACAAAAATGCAGCTGTGATGTGGTATGGACTCTTGAATTCTTTTATCACCATGTGCTACGGTTTAACAGCACAATTAACACTAAGGAAACCTGCCTGCCCTGCAGCTGATCATCTCATTCAAGACTTCTCAGCACTCACAAACAACAAGCTCTCTTCTAGAAGGGCAACAACAGTTCTGGCAAACACTTGAGCTGTTACTTAACAGCTCGCACACAGCTTCTGTCATTAGAAGCTGTTTATTGAACAACAAACAATGATAGGAGTTGCACAGAGAATTCCTTGAATGTTAAGCTGCACACAGACCCTGCAGTGTTCCTGAGCTGATGATAGATTGACAAAGCAGAGCTATTACCCTCTATTGTGAAAATAATTTACTCCCTAAAAAGCACAAATTCAATACACCATTGCAGCTAAAACATTGCTTAATATCTGATACAGCTTGCATTCAAAATATATGTGGATACAATGATACGTAAAATACTGGCATGCAGCCTAAGTTAAGCACTCTCATGACTTGGAATTAAGCTGTTATTCCAGAGCTTTCATGAAAGTAACAAGTGGGAAGATTCTTTGTTGATGCTGCTAATACTTCTAATCTATACCAGGGTTGCAAACTACTGTATAGAACCATACGCACAGAAGAACACTGATGCTTATTCCAGAGTAAG